AAAGCTGGGCAAACAGTCAGGTACTACTGATACAAGCATTACCAACAGAATAGAAGAGATGGAAGAGAGAATCTCAAGTGTTGAAGACACACTAGGAGACATGGATTCATCAACCAAAGAAAACCTTAAGTCCAACAAATCCTTAACACAAAAGGGCTTTATTTTACACTGCATAACAAAATCCTTCTTAATAGAAAGTCCTTCAAACAAATAGCAACCGTTTCTTTAAGAATGTCTACTACGTTCTAGACTTCAATAATTTGTATTAGTATTGTTTGAATTATACATTATTTTGTTTGCAAGTTTTAGTATATATATTTGTAATAAATTAACTTTTATATTCTTAAATTAAGTGTTTATGTGTGTGCCTGTTTGTGAATATTTGTGCATTCCCTCAGAGACCAGAGCAGGAAGTTGGAAATCCGCTGAATCTGGAGTTCTTGATTGTTTTGATCTGCCTGATGCAAGCACTGAGAACCAAACTTGGGTCTTTTGGAAGCAAAGTATGAGTGAGCTCTCTATCATTTATCTATAATTCCAACCTTGCGAATTAGCATTCGTGAGAGATGCTTTTGTTGTTGTTGCTTGCTGTCTTCGTCACTGTTCTAGTGCTGTTAAGAGACACCATGACTAATGGAATTCTTATACAAGAAACATTTAATTGGAGGCTTGCTTGCAGTTCCAGGGGGTTAGTCTGTTAATATCATGGTGAGGAACGTGGCAGCATTCAGGCAGTAGCTGAGAGCTTTATATCCTGACCCACAGGCAGCAGACAGAGAGATACAGAGAGAGGTGGGGAGACAGACACAGAAAGAGCAAGAGACAGACATAGAGGAGAGAAAGTGAGAGATGGAGCCTGATGTGGGCTTTTGAAACCTCAAAGTCCACTCCCAGCAACACACCTCCTCCAGTTAGCAAGGTCACACCTACTACATGACCACACATCCCAATCCTTCGAAACAACTGGGAACTAAACATGCAGATACATGAACCTATAGGAGGTATTGTTATTCAAACAACTCTGATTGTCTTTCTTTGAACATAGTTTAATAGGAGAAAAGCAGAAAATATGTTCGGAATTAAGTTTCACTCATGTATAATGTTCAAACTGGCTTCTCTGGTACTGTGACTAAACACTGACTAGAAGTAATTGTGAGAGAAACGGGTTTATTTCATATGGTACTTGATTTTCTCCTAGAGAGGTATATCTACTGGCAGTCAGTAACCTGTCTTTACAGAATTACTATGGATGTTGAGGAGAGTAACCCAAGTGTTCTGCACCTGAGAGATGAAGCAATGCCATGAAATATGACTCTCATATGCCCCAAGTTTGTTTCTTGCTTTTCATTGAATGAAATCATCTCTTTCTACATCCCAAACCTGTTAGTGATGGAATGGTTTTGGCCAGTCTCTGAGCCTTAGGGCTTACATATTTCCAGATGTTCTGATTGTTTCAACAACTGCCTCTCAAGTCACCATTCCCACTGCCATTGCTGCTGCCACTTTGTTTCTTGCAAGAATTTGCAGATCATTTTCGAAGGATCAAGCTTACAGTCACTCAGGTCTTTTCAGTTGTCCCTCATGTATTTGCACAAAATGTAATGAAGTATGTATGCTTATACAAAGTCCACATACTTCAACTATTTTACTGTTAAAATGTTCTTACATATATGAAAATTTACAGTGATTGTATCAGATTATTTTTGCTATGCCAGACCCAGTGACCAATTATGACAAGTGCATACGTAATATGTTCAGGGCATTGATTAATGATCATAATGTCTATTCCATCAAACTGTAGTTATCTCCATTCGGCTTACAACAACCACTGGTGCTTACAGCCATTGCTTAAGGTTCAGTTTAGATTAATTTGAGAAAGAGAAGTGGTCAGCAGTGTTCTTGACAATTCCTTCATATACCTTCCTAAGCAGATGTCTCATGTACAATAAAGATGTGTTAACATTCTTGTGTTTTCCATTAATTTAAAGGATATTATATTCCACTAATCTGGGTGATACATGAATATTCATATGCTTTAATGTTTCCTGGAATTTCTCACATTTATTATATAAATTTTCATCATGTGTCTTCTTTTCTCTCCTGGATTATGAACATTTCATCTTTATTTTGACAATCATAAGTCAGAATTGCACAAGCATTGTACTTAAGTGATTCCAGAACAATTAATAATTACTTACAGAAAATTTAAATATCAAAACATTGTAGAAAGTGTGAAATACATTGAAATACTTCATAACATATGTATGTATGATATACATGAAAGATATATATATGTATATATATGTGTGTGTGTGTCAGGCTTAATATTATAAACAGGAATAAAAACCAAGTAGGAGACATATACTCCTGTCTTTTGTCTGACACAAGTTGTTCCCTGAACTGCTGTTATTCTATTCAATGTAATTTTAATAGTTCTATAACATGGTTAACCAAACTGTATCCCAATGAGCCAATTGACTGTTAAAGTAAATAAATTTCTGCTTGAGTATCCTCACACCAATTTGTTTCTATGTTGTTTACTGATCATTTTGTGTTACACGGCATAGGTGAGTTTTGCTACAGACTGTAGGATCTGCAAGCTTGTATCATTAAAACACTACACTATATAATAACTGAATAGAACAAAATTATTGAATAGAATGAACACATTCCTAAAGCCAAATCCCATTTAAATGTTTAAAAGAACACTGCATGTGTGTAGAACCTAATGTAGATGTTATGGGATGTATACCATCATAGAACAAAACAATGTCATAGAGCAGTATTTAAAATGCTATTTATTGTATACAAATAACATGTTCAGAGGCAAGGTTTATGACTGGAAGTTCAGAAGCGGTAAATTCTTCATCTACCATATCACATCTTTATTATACATAAGCCAGGAATGATTTCTGATGTTAAAATGTGTCAGGGATGATAACAGACTTACGATGGCTCAACTCACAATATTTCCTTTTCTCTTCCTTCCTTCCTTTCTTCCTCTCTTCCCTTATTTTATTTATTTATTTATGTTGGGCATGGTCTCACTATGTATCCCACTATGTGACTTTTTTACATAGATTAAACTGGCCTTGAACTCACAATGCCTCTAGCACCTGAATATTGGTATTAAAGGTATGCACCAACACTTACAACATGATATTATTCTTTATAATTGTAAAAGTTATAGCCATATAATTGTTCTAGTTTTTACTTTCAGAACTTACAGTATTTAATAATTTGCATGAGACATTTTACAGACGATTATAAATTTTGCTTTGTGTTAGATCATTTTGCCTTACTAAATTCATTGGTAAATGTTCTGACTATAATTAATTTAGCCATGGTGTAGAGTAGGTTATGTATATTGTGTACTTTTATTCATAATATTTCAACTTGCAGTGAGCTTATCAGGATATCATCTGGTTGTGAGCCAAGGAGCATCTGTAAGTTGTTAAGGAGGAAAATGTTGGATAATTAAGGTGCCTTTAAAAGATACTAGTGTGATACATAATGAGGTGATAAATACTGACTCAGTGGCTACCTTTTCTGTTGCTGTTGTTGAGTAACTTCAGTGGTGTGTGTGCAGGATGTACAGTGGGAGTGATTGCATCCCCTTGGGGACATTTCAAACTGTCAGGAAACATTTCCCTTGTTACAGCTTGGAAGAATGGGATGGAGAAAGGTGCTACTGTCATCACATGGATCGAGCCCAGGGAAATTGCTAAACACAGTAAAGCACAGGCACCCCCATCACCCCACCTACACATACAAGAAGTTAATGGTGCAGAGGCTGAAAAACTCTTATTAAGCAAAAATCAATGTGGAAATCAGTCAACCTCGAGTTCCCTGCTAGAAAACCAAGACAGAAAACATATCTAAAACAAAACCATGATTAATGTGCTTGAGAAATTGGGAGAAGGCCATATGATTTGTTAGCAGAATAAACAAGAGTGGAAGCCAAAGGTAGTCTTCCCAGGCCACCTTAAAAAATTAGAATATACTATAAATTCAACATGAGAGCTTTGTAGTGAACAGTAGCATGGTCTGTTTTGCAGACTCACTTCAGGGACAGCTTCTGCCATAACCATTTTTGGTGAATTTAAAAACATCATACAATATTTTTATTCATATCTTTTCTCCTTCCATAATTCCTCCTAGACCTCCCCTCCTTCCTTCCTGCCCAAACAACTTTATGGTCTTTGTCCCCTCTCTCAAAAGAGTTTCTATTGCTTATATTTTCTTTATATCCACAAATTTATTACCATTATTTCGGAGACTCCCTCAATATACATAAATTTGTTGTAATTGTATGTGACAGGTTTTGACTGAGGGTCTATCAAGTAAACAGGAATTCACATGGTCTTCTGATGATAATTATTGCCAAGAAAGTGAAGGAAATTTGAAAGATTTTAATATCCGTTTCCCAGATGATGACTGTTTAAGAGGTTACTATTGATCTAAAGTATATTAATAAACATAAACTACACTAAAATTCATACATATTTCTGTATATTTTTATGACAAATAAATCATTGTCATACATTGGTAAGATGTAGATGATTGCAAAAAATTCTGGATAAGATATGAGGCACAATGGATTCTGATTCTGCATTTACTATATTACATTAACTCCACACAAAATTATACAAAATCCCAAATCTAAACTATCATATTTCACTGTTTTCTTCTGAAGTTAGTACCTATTCATCCCACCAAACATTTTCAGATACTCATTTATTGTTAAGTTAGTAAAGTTTTGTGTTTGTGCATGTCGGGTACTCAAAGGCTGTAAGGTAATTGCTGTAAAGTCTGAAGAGACAAAACATATCACCCTCTCCAACAAGCATCCTTACCTGGCAGAGATCAAGTTCCATAGCCAGTATTTTGTCATCCATGGTAATCTTCATGTTTGATGGTGACATTCTTTGTAAGCATCAGTTTTATAGGACCCACCCTCCCCCCCAAAAAAGCTCACCAAAAATCAGACATTGGCTTACCTGAAACTAGGGCATGCAGAAGGATGTGAAACTCCTAGCCTGTAATAAAGAACTGATTATTTGCTCTCCAAAGAATTCACAGCGTCTCTCCACTTCCCTCCAGTGTTGAAATGAACAGAAGGATTGTTGAGGGGAATCAGAGAGATTAAAGCCCTTTATTTCTATATTGTTCAATTAGAGGAGCTTGGGCATATCATTCAGTTGTCATCCAGTTGAGAAGATCATTCCATGGAAGTGGTAATCAAATTCACCTTGACACCTGATTTGTCATGGAAGATAAAAATCTAACATTGTTTGGATCAGTTTTTAAAACCTGGTTAAGGAGGCTTCCTGTCATCTTTTTTGATCCTTCCTCGCTTACAAAATTATCCTCCACTACAGGTCCATGAGTCATGATGACAGCATATGAAAGTTCTTCCCTTGCAAACCTGATTACCTAATTTTCCCCTAGGAATTTCTTTGATGTTGTATTGTGTAAAAGATGGATAGAAATGTTTAAATAAACAAAGAATGTTCTTAATATATTATACCTAGAAAGGACAACCCAATGCAATTTTTCTTTAAAGATCTCTAAACCCTAGAAAACGACAGACTAACATTTTTAATGTATTTTTTATTTTTATTTGTTTATATTTATTTTTCAGTTTAAATTTAGATAAGAAACAAGGTTGCTTCACAAGTCAGTTCCAGGTCCCTCTCCCTTTCCCTCCCTTCCTCCCATGCCCACCCTCCCAACCCCCCCCCATTATCCCCTCATTTCCCAAGGGAGGGTGAGGCCCTCCATGGGGGTGTCCATATAGACTAACATTTTTATAAACTATTGTTTGTAGTTTTTTTTTTTACAAAGAAATTCAGTCTCTGTAGCTAATGCTTACAGTGTACCAATAGCTTAGGAATTCTGTTCATTTGCTAGTGAAATTCAACAAGCATAAAGCCATCACCGACCAGCAGAGACTTTTTACACCCAGGTTTATGATGCAGTGGGCATACGAACCCTAATGGCTGCATCATACAGTATGTACCAGATGATTTAGCAAAAGAGATATGAGTACTGTAATTGAGATTCTAGGGATTCCAGGTGCCGGTTCTATAGTTATATCATCTGATTATTGTAGCTTATTCTAATTTAGGGCAACTTAGATTAGCCAATTTAAGGATGGTTGTAAGGATGTGTTCAATAAAAGTACTTGCTGAATTACTAAAAATTTTCAATTTACTATGCCAGTTTTAGAATACTTAACTATAGTACATAATGTTAATTTTTCAACCAACCATGAAGTAATCTGGTCAATGGAGGAAAACACATAGCTCTGAGGATCTCAAGGCTGCAACCTGGAAAAAGAGAAGGTGTCATTTGTTGTCTTCATTTCCATACAGTATTGGTGACTTTTCTTTCTATTTATCATTTTTAATGTCTGTATAAAAACGCTACACCCTTACATAAATGAGACAACTTTTGTGGGTCTATCTGTTATTGCTTCCTTCATATCCCTAATTTTGGTTTTCAGAAATCAGATCCAAAATATGTTCTCTGCAGCCATAGTTAGGTCCTAGTTCACCAAAAAGCACTCCCACCTATACTTTGGAGCAACACCAACTTTACTACTGTTTTAAAGTCTGTATCTCTCTAGAATCCATATTTTAAAATTGAATTCCATGATTATTTTATTTAGAGACATGTGGCATGGGACGTGGGTAGGTTCTGGGTGTTGCATTCCATGAATGGATTATTATTCCTAAAATTGATTGCAGTGAGGACTCTTGCTGGATGCTGCTATTGGACCATACAAGAATGTGACAAGATGTGCTGTCTTTGAAACAGAATAGTCCTAACTACATAGACATATTCTAGAGTCTTGTTCTTGGATTTTCCAGCATCCACAACTATGAGCAAATAAATTTATGATCTTTATAAATTAGCCACTTTCATGTCTTTTGCTCTACCAGCAGAAACAATATAATCAGACTTTAGAGAGTGAAAAGTAGTTACAGCAAGTAGATATATCAGTGATGGAATGGAGACAGTTGACAAAAATATCCATCCTCACGCTGATGTGTAGAACATATATATGACTTCAATGTCATTTAGAAAAATGTTTAACTGATTATTATGTAAATCTGCTTTGTTATCCGGTAGGTTGAACTCTCAAAGATAATCTGTACTGTATACCTATTCAGTGTCCTTTATCTACCTATTAATGTGGCTTGTATACAGTACAATGCTTTTTGTTGAAAATAAAAATGAGTATCTGTGTCTGGAATGACCCAGGATATTTTGAAACAAATCCTTAATGTGTATTTTAATTCTCACACACTATAGTGTCTTACACACTAATTTATAACAGGTTTTCTTTTGGTCTACTAACTAGCTCCCAAATCATGATATGGAGTCTTATCAGTAGTTATCAACCTTATTTTATGCTCATTTCTATCTGGCTCTTATCACTTAATTTAACCTGCTTCTCTTCATCTGTTTTGGAGCTTTTTGCCTTCCTTCAATTCTGTATGTCCTACTCCTTGTTTGTCTGGCTGGAAGCTGCTTGGCTGGCTGGCCCTGTGAATCTCCCATTATTTCTCCTTCATTCTCCCTTTTCTCTCTCTTCCTTCCTCCTACTTATTCTGTCTACCAGCCCCGCCTATTGCTCTACTGCCTAGCTATTGACCATTTGATTTTTATTAGATCAACTAGATGCCATAGGCAGGCAAAGCAAAACATTTTACAACATTAATATTTGGCAAATTCATAGAAAAGACTCCATTATTTATCCTATCTTGGTGAGTCCAAAGTCTTGTACCTAATTTACCTTCCATCATAAGTAAGGAAAACTATAACTGTAACTATATAGTCTTAAACTCCATCAAAGATTTCAGAAAGATATAATATCTCCTGAATAAACAGAAAGTACAGTACATACCATTTCCAAAACTATAGAAATGAGAGACATCTGATTGCCTGGATATTCACCAAAGATTCCTCTGCAGTGGTGGAGCATTCATCTTTAGATTTCAACCCTAGAATATCTGGAAAACTTTCTCATGAAGCAGGAATTTTGAAGGACTCTCCTACCTTGTCTTGGTAAAGTTCAGCAGTCTTTTTCTTTTGGGTCCTACTTGTCCAGCTTGTACAGCATACTGTCAGCATTCAAGACAAGGGCAGTTTCTTCCCCAAATGGCTAGCCTTGACACTGTGAAAGCAAACCGCATTTGGAGGTTTTTCAGTGCCCATCATCCTTTCTGAAGTAAATTGGTGCTGACAGGAGCAGATGTGCATCATTGTCATGAAAAGTCTTAGGTTGTCAAATATCTCAAAGGTCATATTCTGTATGTCTCTGAAGCATTTGAAGATCATCTATTTATCTAAAATACAGCTGTTTAACCTTAAAAACATACCTAATATCACTACAAATTTGATTACTATAGATGAACAACTACTGACCTGCATTTCTTAATTATACGCTGCATTTTTAAATGAACTGCATAAGCACAATCCCCAAAGAGGAATAGGAAAATACACACAGTATAATGAAAATAACTTTAAATATGTATCAATCTACTAAAATCTATGCCAATGTAAAATGTTTGAGGTTAATTGTAGGCTTTTTATCCTATATTCCTATATACCCCTCCAAATTGACAGATACCCATAACCCACCGAACTACCAAAAACCACCCACCTCTCCTCTTATGAATGTGGGCATTCTGTTCTCTTACCTGCTTCCTGTTGTCTGGTGTGATGGAATCCCCAGGAGACCCTGAGAAAATTCAGATAATGGTTAGGTCCCGGGGAAACTAGCCGCAACATTTGTTGTCCAGTCTCAGAACAACTCCCGCACATAAAAATCAGTATGAAAGTCATCTGTCTTGTAATTTTTCCTGGTTTATTTCTTTACGTCTATAACCAAGATTTTCAAGAGGCCTGGTCAAACCTGATCTCAGTTAACTTTGAAGGCTATATGCCTTTCCTTTCCTGTGGAAACAAAGCATAATCTCACCCCTGTCACAATACAATTTCTGAAATCCATTTTAAAGTATCTAGGCTGGTATAATTTAGCAGCCCCATTTACAATCTAATGTCTCCCCACATCTTGAGTTCACCAATCAGCATTCAAAAAAAGTCAAAGTCAACACAGCACCATACAGGATCCAGACTTCCTGTGTATTTCCCATCTTTACTTGACTTTTTCCACTTTATGTGGTTTTTTCTTTCTTTAAGGCCTTAATTCATTAATTCTAAACTATTTTTCTATGACTGTCTATGCCCACTTTCTTTTCTTTCTAAGCCTAGACAAGTTTTTAAACACACTGCAACCTGTATAGAGGTTTGTTCCATCTGTACCTGTCTTTACTGTGCATTTGGTGCATGTGTGGTCTTTTCTGACAGTATGAGTCAAACCTTAAACTGCTAAGTGGCTCTGAGCCTTTCTATGTTCCATGAAAGCCAAGTTTTATACCCCCTCAAGCCTGGTTGTAAGCTATGTTCAACCGGGGACTACATTTAGGAAGTTTGTGCCCACATGGCAGCAGGCATTTTTACTTAACTAGCTGTTTCTACTTAGGGAGCCAACTACTAAAGCTCTTGCTGTATGGCATAGCCTCCTGAAGAGCCACATTCATTTTCTTTCTTTCTCTCTTTCTTTCTTTCTTTCTTTCTTTCTTTCTTTCTTTCTTTCTGTCTGTCTGTCTGTCTGTCTGTCTTTCTCCCTCCCTCCCTCCCTCCCTTCCTTTTTTTCTTCTTTTTCAGCCTTCTCAGGACCTTGGGGAAACTCAGGTCCCACATTGAAATGTTATTATCTGCTCACCCTATTTGAAAATAACAATAAGAACCCCCTACTTATAAATCTCAGTTAAATTTCCCTGAACAGAAGTATATACTTTTATGTTTCTATAGGAAAGATGGTATTTAAATTTTTTAATGAGTGTTCAAATTTATTTATTTTATTTTAATATAACACAAATAGATTATTCCCCAACTATTAATATAGTATATAAAATATCAAAATAGCTATGTTTTTGCCCCTGCACACTTAAGATTTTGATTGTGTGAATGTACTGCATTTTCCTATAACTGGTTACTCTTGTTTCTTGCTATATCAATTCTTTTTAGGTTTACTCTTAAGAATATCCCAAGACATGTCTCACACTATCTGTCTAGTTTAGCATTATGATCCATTTTGTTTCTGTGTCATTCAATGTATCAAGACAATAGCAACAACAAAAATGAATCAACACATACTTTCTAAGGCCAAGAGAGGGGATTTGGAGATTATACACTATTCAGAATAATCTTCACTCCTGATTTCCTCCATTATTAGTGTGCATAATTGAAAATTCCCTGCCTATAGCATGACTTGTTTTCAAAACAGCCGTAAAAATCTCCACCCATTAGAGCAACTCAATGAATGAAATCCAAAAAAAAAAAAAAAAAAGATTTTTGAGCTCTTGGGGCAGGCATCACTTGAGAGTGATTTTAGAATACAGAGTCATGGCTGGCTACTGGAGTAAATTCTTTGATTCCCTTTGTCATTAACATATAATATGACATTTTAAAAACAACAATTCCATTTTGAAGGTCTGCTGATATCACAAGCCCTCAGAACAGAGAATGGAAATAGGATATCACTGCACTCTGCTTCCTCTTACTGATTTCAGGCAATGACCTTGCAGTTATTAAATATAGGGCAACTTGCACTCTGGGACCTCAGGCAACCCCTTTTTAAAAGTGATCATTTACTCCCCAACATTTCTACTAAAATTTGATGCTTAAAGATCACTTAATGGAGGCAACCAATTTATCCCTGTCCCTTGGGTGGTCCCTAAGGGCAGGGTTTTTTTCCCTCTGTTTCAATACAATTACAAACTGCTTCCAGGCTCTGTGAACTTGGTTATACAAGAAGGTTATGGCAACAAAGACTGTTTTCTTTGGAAAATTGTTAACAAAGTGCTTGACCTTCCTTAAGCATACAGCAATCTTAAAAGTCTAAGAGCCCAGATGCTTAACGCTGTGAGCACCAGTGCCAAATTCTAGAACCAGAGGCATGAGTTAAAGCATAGCATGCAATTGAACCAAGAAAAAAAAGGGAACAGAACTTCACTTGTTTCATGTCCTGTAGTCTGGGTTCAAAGCAAAATTCTTGTGTTAATTCTAAGGTATTTTCAGGAGAGTATGACCTGGGAATGGCTTTTTAGTTTCATACACGAGCAAGGAAAAAAAATGGAGCCAAGCCAAGATGGCTTTGGAGACTCAATGAGGAGCAAGAGCTCATTAGATGTTAGGAAGATCCTGGATTCCTCTGTGCTAAATATCAAGGATCTGGGACAAATGTCTAAGTAGCTGATCCAAGTTAGACAAATTCATGTGATAGGAAACAATGGTCTTGGACTATTCATTTCAGGACATATTCATGACACAACAATTATTTATTGGAAAGGATGCATTTTCTAAGCATGTAGATACATGTAAGGGCTTGTGTTCACTGAGAGTGGGTAGAGAATGAAGAGGAGGAGGCCATCTGTGATAACCAGCACCCACAAACATAGTTACTGGCAGCAGCAATCTCTACCCATAGGGCCTAAGGATTAGCCTCAGGCTACACTGAACACTTATCTCCACACCCACAGGCTTGCCCCATTTTTATTCATTCCATTTTTAAAGCTGTGTTGCACTGTTTAGAAGATACATACAATAGAACAAGTCTTCTGCTTGACTCCTGTGAGCATCACAGCACATTGGTAGAAACATGCAACCTATACACTACATCAAGGAGTAACCTGGGCACTGCAGCAAGGAAGAGTAACCTGGGCACTGCAGCAAGGAAAGAGTAGCCTGTAACTACAAGTGCCCATGTTTGCAGGGTACTGTTTTCACTGTACACAGATTTTTACAGAAATTTTTATACACGTAAATATTGCATAAGAATCAGATAAGCACTATTTAAAATAATGTTCTGTAAACACGTAATCATTTTCTTGTTACTGAGAATTTATTCTAACTTCTACTCTATATTTTCACACTGTTACATTTTATTTGTAGAGTGTGAATTATGTCAGCTAGTGTAGACTATATTTTCATATAAGGAATGCTTGTGGGGTACATCTACAAAAAGGAATAGTATAGCTCAGTAGCTTCTGGGTGCACTCCCACCATGCAGTCATAAAGAAAATAGAAAAGAAAAATGAACTTTTTTCTTGCCTCAGTTAACTACTGAGTAAAGTTTTCTTCATGCTGAAAAAAAATGAGACAAACAGTGATTAAGTGAGCATTAGAGTGTTACTGATTCTGGTGGCAATTATCTATCTACCCTTTAAGAGAGGTCAAGTTCCCAAGGAGCTTAGGGAATTGCAAAATAGATTGCTAAATATCTTTTAGCCTAGAAAACTTGTGGAGAGATAATAAAGGCCTGGAAATAAATACCAGGATTATTGACAAAAGTGAGAGTGGATGTTTAACTAGAATGTTTAAAAAATAGACAACAAGTAAGTTGGCATTGACACAAGACTTGGTGTTAGAAAGCTCATAATTGAGTTTTCTTCCCAAAACAAATGCACACACACACTTAAGCTCGTATCTTTCCTAATAGTGATTCAGAATCTGCTGTCACTCTGCTCCAGACTGTAGTGAGAGAGCAATGCTCGTCAGTCGTGTGGCTCAGGGAAAGAGTAAGAGAGCTGAAGGATCCACAGCATCAGTCACAAGCTTCTGCTGAATAAGGGCTCATGTGCCGTGTTAGGTGCAGGGATAAGTTCTTTCAAGAATACTTTGTAATCAAGTGGTGATAGGGGCCACATGACCTTCCTCTAGCAATGGAAAGCATTTGGCAACAAAATAATATGCTTAGAAAATTTCAATTCTATCATTAAAGAAAAGTATCTTGAGTACTCTCTCTGTTACACATTCCACTAAGACTTGGAATCTCCAGAGGCACAGTTTGTAACTCAGAAGCTACATTCTAGAATGGAATGTATACGATAAACCAATACTAATTATATTCAACATTCATGTTAAAAGGTAGTTAAGATAGTCCCAAAAGATATCAATTTTACATTTGAAAAACTATCTTGGAGATACTAAAGACAAGATCTATAGTCTCTTGAAGACAAAAAAGGGGAAAGGGACAAGATCTCCTGAGCAAATTGGGAGCTTGGCAGGAGGGGAGAGGGAGTTAGAAGAAAGAGAAGGGGAGAAGAGAAGGTGTGAGGAAGACATGAGGAAGCAGGAAGATTGAGTCAGGGGAAGAACAGAGGAGAGCAAGAAAAGAGATACTGTAATAGAGGGAGCCAATATAGGTTTAAAGAGAAATCTACTAGGGAAATGTCCAGAGATACACTAGGATGACCCCAACTAAGAATCTAAGCAATAGGGGAGAAGCTAGCTTAAGTGTCCTTCCCCTAAAATGACATTTATGGCTACCTTATATGCCATCATACAGCCTTCATCCAGTAGCTGGTGGAAAAAGAAGCAGAGACCCACAGCTAAGCACTGAGCCGAATTCCTGGAATCCAGTTGTAGAGAGGGAGGAGTGATGAGCAAATGGATCAAGACCAGGCTGGGGAAACCCACAGAAACAGCTGACCTGAACAAGGGGGATCTCATTGACCCCAGACTGACAGCTGGAAAACCAGCATAGGATGAAACCAGAGCCCCTGCACTTGGGTGTCAGTTAGGAGACCTGGACGATCTATGGAATCCCTGGCAATGGAACAGCATTTATACCTAGTGTACAAATAGACACTGGGAGCCCATTCCCCATAGAGG